CCTCCTCCTCTTCTTTCTCCTCCTCCTCTCTCCTCCTCCCCTTCTTTCTCCTCCTCCTCCTCCTCCTCCTCCTCCTCCTCCTCCTCCTCCTCCTTGTAAACCCAGAGTATGCACGTACTAACTAGCACGTACCGTTCTCTTATACACATCTAGATGTGTATAAGAGACAGGTGTGTGTGTGTGTGTGTGTGTGTGTGCGTGTGTGTGTGCCGGTATGTGTGTGTGTGTGTGTGTGCCGGTATGTGTGTGTGTGTGTGTGTGCGTGTGTGTGTGTGTGTGTGTGAGTGCACACATGTTTGAGCAATCAGTTCATGTCAAACTTCAAACTTTTTTTCCTGCCACATGCGTTCATTATTTTTAAATCACTCATATGAGATTAACAATTACAAAACAGAAAAGACAAAGAGGCTTTATTGATAACAAATAACAATAAAAAGATCTGATTAAAAAGTACGTATTACATACTAAATACACGACTTGTGTTCATTTCATTTGATGATTATGGCACCTACCAAATAGATATATAGGATCACAAATGTGAAATCGGTATTCACGAGCTTCTTCAAAATTGATATTAATGATAAATCCATGATAATATCATAATAATCAATTTTCTCGTTATCCAACTTAGCCTTATCAAATCATTGATTTGTGATGTTTTGAATAATGATCAATTCCTTTTATGTACTCATTACTGCTACTATACGGGTACTAGATATCATTCTGACAGATGCCCACTGCCTTGCTGCCAGGACTCGACCCTGGTGATTATTGCATAAACCCCTCCCCTAACCCTATTAATCACGACCCTTTCGCATGGAGACTTAGACTCCGTCCGCTTTTTTAATGTTTCTTTCAATTGCACACAAGAATGCTGAAAATATATAATTAGAGAATCATAGAGATAGTTCCTTATACTTTTTTAACGTTTACGGGAAGTTTATCAGAGAGAGGCGAGAGGCGAGAGGCAAGAGGCAAGAGGAGAGAGGAGAGAGGAGAGAGGAGAGAGGAGAGAGGAGAGAGGAGAGAGGAGAGAGGAGAGAGGAGAGCAGATAATATTGACCGTGCTCTTTAAAAGCCAAAAAATAATATCTATATACTTCTCTCATCCAACCACAAACAAAGAGAGAAGATGATGATGATGATGATGGGGGGGGGGGTTCACGAGGCCTACTTCTCGAGGCTTCAAAAACCACCAACCCCCCCAAACAGCCTCAATCACCCGTGCTATGGATGTAGGAGCATATGTAGTACGAGGAAACTGCAAAGGTGCTTGACAATGTGTTAAGGGTTAAGGAAAAAGGGGTAAAGATTTTTTGGGGCGAGGGTTAAACCACCAGTAATTTTGCCCAACCAAGCCATTTTGTTTCAGCGCGGCCGTAAATGGGTCGCGATCTTTGGTGCGCAACTTACCTGACCAAAATGGTTCGTATTGCCAGGCATAAAATAAAAAAGCGCGCCCACGCTGGTTCGGTTTTTGTAGGCACACAGCAGAAATTTGCAACGGGAAAAAGAGGCTTGGAAGTACAGGTGGTTTACGGATAAATGGCCGATGGTGTGGGATGAAAGGGAAAGGATTAGGAACTCAGGGCTTAGGGCTTAAGAATGTTTAGGGAATAGACCAACCATCCCCACACAACCTGGAGTAACCCGGAAGCCGTATGGACACCTGTTTTTTTTAAGGGTTCAGGCCTTGGGGGTTCCAATTTAGGCCTCGGGGGCTAAGGTTTCAGGTCTTGGAAGTTAAGGGTTTAAGCCTAGGGGAGTTAAGGGTTTAGACCTTGGGGGTTAAGGGTTTATTTATTTTTAGGCCTTCGGAGGCTAAGGGCTTAGGCCTTTGAGGTTCAGGGGAGGGTTTGGGGCTAAGCATTGGGGCCTAGCCTTGAAGGACTGAGGGAAATGGATTTGGGGCTACAGGTTTTTGGATTTAAGAATGTATTGCAGGGCGTCCAAGGGTAAGGGTTTAGGGTTTAGGGAGGGACGATATAGAAGTTCAGGGTCAAGGATTTGGAGGTAAGTTAAGGATAAGCGTTTTAAAACTTCAGGGTTTGAAAATTGGAATGTATTGCAATAATTTGAAAAATAATTTCACTGTTCAGATTTCAAAAGGGATGTGGGATAAAAAGATGAACAGCCAAGGTATTGCGACGGAAGTCTTAGGGGTTCAACAGCACAGGGCGAAGAATTGAGGATTACGATGTCCGGTAAACGGTCCAGCGTGAATGAACGAGGTTATGGAGTTGAAGCTTCTGTGCTCCTCACAAACAATGTAGGGTTCAAGGTTTACGGCCTTTAGGCCCTTAAGGACCTTGGAAACCCTTAAGGGGGGGGCTTAAGGGCTTAGGGTAAGGATTCTAGGATGGTCTTCGCAAGTTGGCAAGCAAAAAAAAAAAGGTTGCATAACTTGCATTTGATTCGGTTCAAAATATTTATTTCAATTTTTAATTTTTTGCTCTTTGAGATGTCTTTGTGTAAGTGGAAGTTGCATTTGATTCGGTTCAAAATATTTATTTCAATTTTTAAATTTGAGATGTCTAATTGTGTAAGTGGAACAGGCAAAAAGTGATAGACAGCCAAATTAGAAGGAAATCCAATTTTCCAAAGAATCGTAAATCAAATCTCTCTCTCTCTCTCTCTCTCTCTCTCTCTCTCTCTCTCTCTCTCTCTCTCTCTCTCTCTCTCTCCCTCTCTCTCTCT